TGGAAATGGAGGACTCCAAATGCCAGCTTGTCCTTGACTTTGCCAGCAGTGGGAATCAAGGAGAGTGGAGTGTGGGAAAGAGGGAGAAGGATGATGTGGTTTAAATCACTCTCAGTAGTTCAGGTCTTGTTTCTCCTGAGATAATCTGCATAGCTCAAGTGTTCTTTTGTTCACTGTTCATCATATATCTGTGCTAGATATCCTCACACAGATTATCCTTTCTGACATATTGGTGGTAACGATAACAATAGCAATATGAACAATAACAACAACCACAACAATGGCTCATCCCCTTGATTCATTCATATCTCTGCTCTAATGTCCCTTTCTCCAAGACCTTCCTCAACCACCCAATCTAAAATAGCCTCTTCTTACCCTGGTTAGTCTCTAGCCACTTACTGACTCCATTGGTTTATAGCATTGTTAACTGACATAATGTTTTTTGTGCTTCAGTTGAAATATTTTTCATTAACCATTATTCTAGTTTCTTTTTTTTTTTTTTTTTGCCCTTTTTTTCTTAGAGACAAAATCTCACTCTGTCTCACCCAGGCTGCTGGAGTACAGTGGTTTGATCATAGCTCATTATAAACTTGACTCCTGGGCTCAAGTAATCCTCTCACCTCAGCCTCCCCAGTAGCTAGGACAACAGGTATCTACCACTACACCTGGTTAATTAAAAAATTTTTTTGTAGAGATGGTATCTCACTTGCTATATGCCCAGGGTGGTCTTGAACTCCTGGCCTCAAGCCATCCTCCCACCTCAGCCTCCCAGATTGCTGGGATTACAGGTGTGAGCCAGTACACCTGAAGATTTTGGATAATATAATCTTTCTCTGGAGAGAATTTAATTTTTTCTCTGTCTGGCAGTTACAGTAAGGGCAGATCACCTTGATCTAATCAGAGATGGAGATAGTTTACTTTTAGGTTTCAGACTTTTGGAGGATTGGTCTATTTACAGTTTTCCTTTATTTCTATGAAGTCCTTCAGGGTTTTCAGCTGAAGACTTTAGTATTTTTTTTTTTTTTACCAAGACTCTTCCTCTTTTGTTGACCCTGAAATCCAAATTAAGTGAATCTACTAAAAACTCTGAGTGATTTTTTAAAATACACTTTATTTTTTAGAGCAGTTTTGGGTTCACAGCAAAATTGAGTGGAAGGTACAGAGATTTCCCATATACCCTCTGCCCCTACATATTCATCACCTTCTTCATTATCAACATTGCCCACCAGAGTGATATACATTTGTTACAACTGATGAACCTACATTGACATATCATTATCATTCAAAGTTCATAGGGTACATTAGGGTTCACTGTTGGTACTATACATTCTATGAGTTTGTACATATATATAATGACATGCATCCATCATTATAGTATCATAGTATAGTTTCATGGCCCTAAAAATCCTTTATGTCCTCCCATTTGTCCTTTCCTTCCCCTAACCTCTGGCAACCACTAATTTTTTTTTTACCATCTCCATAGTTTTGCCTTTTCCAGAATAGTTAGAATCATACAATTATGTAGACTTCTCAGACTGACTTCTTTCACTTAGTATTAATAGTATGCATGTAAGTTTCCTATGTGTCTTTTCATGGTTTGATAGCTCATTTTTTAGCACCGAATATTCCGTTGTTTGAATGTACTCCCAGTTTTATTTAGCCATTCACCTACTGAGGGACACCTTGTTGCTTCCAAGCTTGGGCAATTATGAATAAAGCTGCTATAAACATTAATATGCAGATTTTGGTGTGGACATAGTTTTTAACTTCTTTGAATAAATAACAAGGAGTATGATTGCTGGATCATATGGTAAGAATATGTATAGTTTTGTAAAAAAAAAAAAAGAAAAAATACCAAACTGTCTTCCAAAGTGGCTGAACCATTTTGCCTTCCCATCAGCAATGAATGAGAGTTCCTGTTGTTTCACATCCTTGCCAACATTTAGTGTTGTAAGTGTTCTGGATTTTGGCTATTCTGATAGGTGTGTAATTGTATCTCATTGTTGTTTAAATTTGCATTTCTCTGAGGACATGCGTTGTGCAGCGTCTTTTCATGTGCTGATTTTCCATCTTTGTATCTTCTTTGGTGAGGTGTCTATTAAGATCTTTGGCCCATTTTCTAATCAGGTTGTTTGTTTTCTTATTGTTGATATTTAAGAGTTTTTTGTATATTTTGGATATCAGATATGTCTTTTGAAAATATTTTCTCCCAGTCTGTGACTTGTCTTTTTACTCTCTTGACAGTATCTTTTACAGAGCTTTAATTTTCTATTTTTAATTTATTCTAGCTTATCAAATTTTTCTTTTATGGATTATACCTTTGGTGTTATATCTGAAAAGTCATCACCAAACTCAAAGTCATTTGACTCTCTCTCATGTTATTTTCTAGCAGTTGGGGTATTTCCCTTCCCCCCAGGTCAGTTAGGCTCTGAAAAAACAAACAAACAAAAAACCCAGTACTGGGCAGAAAATGCCTACATTCTCAGTTACTTGGGAGGCTGAGATAGGATGATTGCTTGAGCCCAGGAGTTTGAGACCAGCCTGGGCAACATAGTGAAACTCTGTGTCTAAAAATAAAAAAAAATAAAAAAACCCCAGCAGATTAGGCTCTGGTTAAATAGTTTCTCCTGAAGGCACACCTTGTTAAGAAGAACAGAGTGCTCCTGGCACATTTCAAAATGGTTCCTTTTCTCCTTCCCCTGCCAGAAGCACAAGGGGATTTTCCCTCTGACATGCACTGTGATAACCTGGTAGAACTTCGGGAGGTAATACTCACAGAAGTGTGGGAGCCCTCTGATGTCTGGGTATCCCTGGCGTTTTTAACTTTAGACTTGTTTGTACTCAGCCTCCAACAATTTGTCAGTTATAGTTCACATTTCCCTACCCAAGCACTGGTTGCTGTGGAGGTTTCAGCTCTGGTAAGTTGTGATTCTCTGTGTTCTCCTCCCTGTCTCTCCGGTTTCCGTGGCAGTGGTTTGCCCTGCATCCCAATTTTTCTTACAGATCTAAAAGAGTTGTTGATTTTTTTTCAGTTTGTTCAGCTTTTTACTTGTTATTAGGATGGAGTGGCCACTTCTAAGCTTCTTAGCTGCTGGGCCAGGTCTGCTTAGTTTTTTAGCCTCTTAGCAGCTGCTTTCCCCTATTGTCTTGCCCCTGAACAGTTTAGGATTTAGCAAATGCCTCAAGGGTAAAATTCATGTAGAATGTCAACCTCACTTTTTTGTTGTTCTCTTTTCTCTGGAAAATTTGTCCCTCAAGTCCTGGCTGTTTTCCTAGCCCTGAATTACTATGTTTGTCTTCCAAGCCCAGTAAAACTACCCCAAGGTAGTTTAGGCTAATGCCAAATGTCCTGATAGGAAAATACAATAAGAAATGTTTGATTCACCTCAGTGCATTCCCTTCTCTACAGGGTCTGGCCCCTCAGGTGTTGATGGCCTTAGTGTTCCCTAGCTGACCTCATATCTTGAAGAACTGTTTTTATAAAACAAATTTTATCCAGGTTTTACATTGCTCACATTATACAGTGTTTTCTATACAACTGTGTAAGGCAGAAGATTTAATGTGATATAAAATTGCTCAATCGTAGTTGGGGGCTGAGGTCTTAATCTTGAATTTTTAATTTTAATAATCACATTTCTCCTCTAGAAGTTCTATTTGGTTGTTTCTCAAATCAGAATTATCTTTCTTGGTGCTTCTATTTCATGTTTACTGTTACTTTTTAAAAATGATTTTAATCATTTAAAACATACTTATTTTTTAGTTTGTGTCTTATTTGATTATCTGAAATTCTCAGGGGTCTAATTTCCATTGTATATTATTTTCTGACTCTTAGTTTCTGTTTGCTTCTGCCAGATGCCCCAAGAGGGTATTAGCAGCTGAGAACCAAATTTTATGTTAATTTCTTGGCTCGAGATTTCTGAGCTATTGCATATTTGAATGTCAAATGTGAGTGAGTAGAGATATACGGTTGTAAAATCTGAAGGGAGGTTTTTTTTTCCACTCAGATTTCAGACCCATACAAGATAAGCTTTCTTGTCATTTTGTTTACTTGTGAGTGAAGGTTTTCTAGGTCATCCTTTCACTTAAAATATGGACCACATGTAGGATTCTAACTTTATAGGTGTATATTAGCTACAACTCTACATAATTAGATGGGCTCAAGGCTTTGGCTCTTGTTTCAGAGTGGCTATTAGGATCAGCCCATAGGTTACTGAAACCAACACAATCCCCTAGAGAGGCAACATAATCAAAGATATATTTCTGAAAAGCAATCTACTTAAAATTGGTAAGATTTAAAAAAATATGTATTCCAAAAACACAGGAAAGTATATTCTAGATGTTATCATATCAAATCAGCTGAGAAATCAGTACTTTTTGTATAATCTCCAGGGAATTTGTCTCATTTTCTTGTGAGCTCATCTGTGCATATGTAAAGATATTTGTATACTTTGTTCATCATTTTAATGTTTTCTTAAGGCAATGATTTTCAAGTTTTTAGCTCTCCAGAATTACAGAAATAAAAGTCTTAACTGACATAATTTACATTGCTGGGTTGTAGTAGGACTTAATAAATGTTAACTATGAATATTATTAAATATCATCATTTTTATTTTTAGAAATATACAAAACCTGAGCATTTGGGTAATAATGGATTATAAAGTATTATGGTAACTGGTCTATCATCAGATGGTGTGGTGACCAGATATAGTACTGTGTAATCATGCTATTAATACAATAAAATATGGCCTATCAAAATAGTTAAAAGCATATAACTTTTCTCCCAACTGCATGTTTCCCTTCCTTTAAAACTCTTATTTTAAAACTTCTGTTTCCTTAGGGAAACTAGAAAATGTTGTGGCTTTGTAGATTTTAAACATTGAAAGATATATCTGGAAGTATATGTGTAAATCACTTCACATACAACATATATATTATTTACATCTGGCTTTAAAAATTTTACATTTTCCATGAAGTTGTATATTCTTTTTTTTTCATTTTAGGAGGATACTTCATCGTGACTTGAAATCAAAGAATATATTTCTGAAAAGCAATCTACTTAAAATTGGTAAGATTTTAAAAAATATGTGTTCCAAAAACACAGGAAAGTATATTCTAGATGTTATCATATCAAATTGAAGTACATGGAAGTGTTAGAATAATCATTGGTTTATTTAAACTTCTCAAATTTTTGTTCTCACCTGGATTGGCCCACCAAAACCCTGTTATTTTATTTCTGATTATCTGATATAAATTGAGATGTAAAACACTACGTACTTGGTAGATTTAACAAATATACTTTGAGTTCTCTGCTTCAAGCCAGGTACTTTGCAAGTCATTAGACTTGTTTTACTGGTTTGATTAATTACTGCAGGTTTCTACTTATTTTTTCACAAGCGATAAGTGGTTATCATAGATATTTGAAATGTTGATATAATGCTTTACTAACCTTTAGTTATTCAAAACTGTACCAGTTACTAGGTTGTCGAATGATCATGTAGAATGTTCTTAGGGAAGGAAGTAATAAAACCATTTCTAATTTAGAAAAGAAGAGAAAAGCGGATGGATTCAAATTTTTGTACTCATGTTCTTGAATAGTCTCAGGTCTTTTCTTAAAAATTTTTCCTTTATTGTAAATGAAGAACAAACTCTAACCCCACTCCACCCCAATAAAATTGCACATCATCATATTCAACTTGTCCAGAATCATTCTGTTTGCTATTACTCAGACTTGAAATAACTTTTTATATAAAGTAGTCTAGCTTTCCATAATTCCATAAAGAATTTTAGCTTACATAATTCACTTTCCTGGCTCAAAGGTGTCTTTCTTCTAAAAGGCTTATGTTTTTAAAGCTGTTTACCAGCATTGTGTAATTTAAGATATTAATATATTTTCTAGCCCTTTAAAATGGTATGAACAATTGTATAATAAAATCATGACATTAGGCACTCATTCAGTTGTTAACTTCCAGGGCTGACTTTTGTTGTTTTAAAGTATTTATAAAAATCAATTATTATTTCAAGGGGATTTTGGAGTTTCTCGACTGCTAATGGGATCCTGCGACCTGGCCACAACTTTAACTGGAACTCCCCATTACATGAGTCCTGAGGCTCTGAAACACCAAGGATATGACACAAAGTCGGACATCTGGTGAGTAGCTAGTTCAGATGACTTCTTCATCTGCTGCCCTAAGAGAGTGATGCATTTTGTTTTTAAGCTCATTTACTTACTATATCCACTTACTTTATCCCTTTAACATGAATCATTCCTTGACCAGAACAAAAGAAAGTCTTTTCCACTTGGAACTTGATATATTTCATTAAACTGGCTTCAAAAATTCTCTTTATTCATTTATTAATTGGTTGATTTGGAGTTTTACTGCTGAACCACAAGGGAAAGTTCTTAACATACCATGAGCATGAAATTTTGATACAGTTCTGCTAACCTATTAAATAAAGTATTTATAACCCTAAATATTGTGCTTTAAGGTTAACTTCCATCTCTGTGGGGAATGTACAGCTTTTCTGTATTTTTTCTTCTTGTTACTTTTAAGAATTTTAATAAAGATATTGGCTTTAAGGATAAACTAAATTTAAAAATTTCTGGTTTTTCAGTGATAGATGCATCTGAGATTTCTCAGTTTCTCTGAGCTCTTTTATCAGGGAAATTTCTCTTTCCTTGTCATGAAACAAGTTTAAATCTTACTGTAAAGTCATGTGGAAAATTGTGTTCATTATGTTATATTGTATGCAATAGATCCTATTTGAGGAATATTGTTTCCTTTGAAGAGGAATCTTATGTAATTTTCAGCATGTTAAAGATTGAAAGAACAATCTAGCTGAGAGCTTGTTAATTAAGTAAATAATTATTGTATGCAAATTAGCCTAAGTAGTTCTGAGTTTTCAAAGATGAGCAATGTAAAAGATGTCCCACTTCATTCTTCTAAAGAAGAGAAAGTAGAAAATTACGCTTTCTCTGGTTAGGGAAAAAGTGAAGCACAGCAGGGGATATGGCTTGGGATTTTCATAAGGGTCATTATTTCTGTTCTTGTTCCTATGCCTTCCAAGTGGGAAAACGCTGTCAAGGTTAGGTCCCACTATGGCAGTTCCCTATAAATCCTGTCCCTTCAATTCAGTCTTGTGATTATTCATTTCTAGGTTCTTCACTGGGTTTTTTCATTGTTACCTTACTTCTGCTTTGGAGGTGTTTTCCAATTCACCTATAATCTTCCCTCATCCTTACTCCCAACCCCCTTTGTATCCCCCACCCACCAAAAAGAAAAAGAAAAAAACTCCTACCAAACAGAAACAAAACATCATAAAGGTATGTTCAGAGGAATGAGTTCCTTTAAATTTTGCTTTATTGAACATCTATTATTTGCCCAAGAAAATGCACTATTCCTTAGGGTGTAAAAGCAAAAGTGATAAGATTCCTACCCCTAAGGAGAAATCTTGCTTCTTTTGGAGTTTCTTTCTCCATTTTGCAAAAATCAATGTTGGGCTTCAGGTTGAATTTCAATTACATACTTATATCTCTCTTCAAACTTAATTTTTTGAATTATTATTATAGACATTTAAAAATAGATTCAAATACATAATATCTTCATGATTTAAGTAAGATTACATGATTTCTAATGAAGATGTTACAACATGTCATTTGACTTGAGTAAATTAACTTATGAAACCCATCATTTAAGTTTTTGTAATTATATGTAATAATAAACCTGCTCCTTTTGACAGGCATCTATATCTGCTTGCTGAATAAAGTGGATATCTCCTAGAAAACTGAGGCAACAGAACTCACAGAGAGAAGAGTAAAGCATAGAGTATTTGTCTCAGTTGTGTCAGTGTTACTTCTTTTTTAAAAATTGCTCTTAGTATGCATGAAGAATTATAGGTATATCAGACTGTATTGCTATCATGTTTTGGGGTTATAAAAATATCTGACTCAGGAAAAGCTTAAAACAGCCCAAACATCCCAAATATACAATGGCAGGCAGATTTAAATGTATTTTTCTGAGCATTTAGGTCAGTTCTCCTTGCAGAGATTATTAACTTTTAGCAAGTACAAGCTGAGGATCCCTCATCATCCTGACCCCAAATAACTACCTTATTATGAATTTAGTCATTACCTTGGCTGTATCTGAATAGAAACAGGCTTATCTGGTAATGAAATTTCTATTGCCAAATCTAAAGTGGAAAGAATAACAGAGAACTATTAATTATAGTGACAGATACATAAGTGTGATGAGTAATCTTTGGAAGACACTCTTAGAAAAATTAGATTGAATGAGGTTGAGAACCCATCTCTGAATCTCAGTGTGTAGCATCCTTTTATTGTAGAATATGTTTTGTAGAATTGAAAACACTTGTGAGTAATTGGCAGGTGCTTTAGCACTAATAGTTAGTTGTACATATTATATTTGTAATGTTTAAAGAAGAATTGAGCTAACACTAATTATATTTTCATCTGTTAATATTTGCCTCCCATATGTAAAATTATCTTCCTTCTGCAATTTGTTAAACCTTTCTGGCTTCATTTATTTATAGAATTCAAGTACAAGAAGTCCTTCTTTTAAAAATGGATCAGATTTCAAAAGTTTATAAACAGTTAATTGGAAAATTAGGATAATTAGGTTTACTGAGGGCATGGCTTTGAATACAGCTGATCTGTATAAGCAATTACTGAATACATTTTTCCTCATAGGACAGTTGGGTTCCTAGGCCAGCTCTTTAATTTAATTTATACTATGAATAGTTAGAATATATTATTTTGGTAGGAAAAACAAGTAAAAGACAATACTATTGGCATAATGGTCCTGTAATTACATAGAAAAGAAACAATATTTCATTGTTTGTTTTATTTATCTTGTTTTGAGAAGTCAACCAGATGGCTCTTTGGTATTTAGGTAGAGGGAATGGTAGTGGGAATGGTGGGGGCATCAGAGTGTACTGTGAAGCTCCCGGGATTTTGCCCAGAGACCCCGTATGGAGATTGGCTGGGTAGGGGACACTGAAGGAGTCTAGTTCATGTCCCAAAATGGAGTCATGCTTTAGTAATCTTGGGCAGAAGTGTCAGACAAGGCTTAATTATGGGTAGAAGAGAGTTTATGGGTTACAGAGAGTAACTAGCCTAACCTGCAAGGACCAGGAAAGTGTCCTCATAGGAGAGCATTTCCAGGGTGAACAGGGAAAGGTGGTAGGGAGGGGAACAGCCTATTCTCTGGGGAAACTTGCAGGCCAACTTTGGCAGTAGTTCCTGTAATGAAAATGGAGCCTGCTAATAGCTGGCAGCCAACAGTCCCATCAGCTGCCTTTTGGTAAAGGAAACTGTGGAGCAAGAGAACCTATTTCTCTCACCTGTCCATGGCCTGGGCAGTTCTCGTGTGAGCTCAGAAACAAGCTGTTGCACAGGGAGGGCTTTCCAAGGGAAAAAGCTCCGATTTTAGTGTTTTTACCCAACAAAAACTGAGATAGGAAAATATATCAGTCAGATGCAATAGATTTGAGCATTAATATTTTTTCCATGACCAGCATGAAATGATTGACTCAAACTCTGCAAATTGGCCTAATGAATTTTAAAAGGGTTTGTGACATAGCTAATAAATCCTTGTTAAATTGGTATTGATTATTATGAAAATAAACACAATAGCACTGACCGAGCACAGTGGCTCATGCCTGTAATCCTAGCACTCTGGGAGGCCAAGGCAGGCGATTTGCTCAAGGTCAGGAGTTCGAAACCAGCCTGAGCAAGAGGGAGACCCCATCTCTACTATAAATAGAGAGAAATTAATTGGCTAACTAATATATATGTAGAAAAATTAGTCGGGCATGGTGGTGCATGCCTGTAGTCCTAGCTACTCGGGAGGCTGAGGTAGAGGATTGCTTGAGCCCAGGAGTTTGAGGTTGCTGTGAGCTAGGCTGACGCGACAGCACTCACTCTAGCCTGGGCAACAAAGTGAGACTCTGTCTCAAAAAAAAAACAACAAAAAAAAAACAATAGCACCAACAAAACCAGGGCTAACTACCCTCTATACAGTGTGTGCTCTCTGATTAATTGATAGTTAATGTGTTAAATGTGTTATGTAAGTCTATTACAAAATAATAATTATACTATATGCAATCTTATAACCTGATTTTTTTCTACTTAGCAAAATGGAACATTGCTCTGCATCAATATACCATTTAAATGTTTGCATAGAATTCTATACTTGTACACAATAATTTATTCAACCAAAGTCTTACTGTTTTCTTTGAAAATCATCTCTTTGTCTTTCCACATTTTTAATATGAGGAATCTGGGTGTGAATTTGCATTTGTCCTACTTGGAGGTGATTGAGCTTCTTGGATGTGTAAATAGATGTATTTCATCAAATTTATGGAGTTTTCAACCATTATTTTTTTGGATACTTTTTTCTTTCTGTCTTTCCTTCTAGTACTCTCATTATTTCCTGTATGAATCTATACTCATTGGTGTGAGGAATTAAAATTCTTTCTGTATGTCTCAGGGTCCAATCAGCCTAACAGCCTTACTCCCTTTTTGGTAGCTGCTGCTTGCAAATGCTGCAATGATGTGCAAGTCTGCTGAGGCCCAAACTTCAAAATGAATTTGTCCACTGTGGCAGCCTCTTGTTTGCTTTAACAGACCCTGGTATTTAAAGGTGTGCAGCAGGAGCTTGGTGGTGTCCTCTGTAGTGAGCTTCTGCTGCTTCTAGAACAGCTCCCAGTACTCCTGCTGCTCACCCAGGTCCAGCATGGCCATTGGGAATGTCAGGGTTGCTGGAATTGGCGGAGGTAGCAGAGGCAATGCCAGCCCTAGCAGAGGCTCCCTGGGACCTGCCTCCTGGGTCTTTGGCAATGAGTATGGCTGCCTTGCCATTGCCTAGCCCCTACCCCTGGTCAGACTTATGGAGTGTCATGCCCAGCTGGTGCCAAGGGGCCTGGGTGGCAGCCAAAGGGGGCCCGGGCTGGACTGTTTCTGCCCACTTGGCTTGGTGGTGGCGGCACTCCTGTGTCAGTTAAAAAGTCCACTGATTGAGTCCCCAACTGTCAATTGCACCTGGGGCTCCTGTGGTGATATTTGGATTGGACCCACTACTGAGGCATGGAGCCCCAGGCCTTCTCATTCGTCACCTGAGTCCTGGACTTGAAAAACCACTTGCTCTCCTGGGAGTTTCTTGTTACCTTTGCAATTTCGGGCAGTGTTTTCACAAAAAGCACACTGATTATACTTCAACCTAGGGTGACCTTTCCTTTTGACTGTCCTGAAAGGACCCTTGGTTGGCACAGCTAACAGAACACACATAGGTTTCAGTTTCTGTTCTTCCCTATCATTATATACTTTAAAGGTGATACCAACAAGCTGTGAGGGATTCATGCCCATTGCTACTTCCACACACTGCAGCTTCCTCCTTATATCTGAAGCACTCTGTTCTATAAAAGTCATATTAACTATGTACAAATTTTCAGGGACCTCTGAATCTGCATCTGTATGTTTCCAACATGGCTGATCAATGCATTCCAGAAATTCAGAGGGATCTTTATTGGCTTTCTGTTGCAATTCTTGGACCTTGTTTAAACTTCTGTCTAGGCACTCCCCTCCAGAGGCCTGCCAGAATACACTTTTGGAAATGATTTATTCTCACACCATCTGTATCCACATTAGGATCCCAATTTGTGTAAGCCCAATAATAAACTGCAGCCATCCTTGTGAATTAAAGCCCCCTGTCTGATATTGCTATAATGAAAATTGCCCTCCCCCGGCTATGGGAGGCCTCTGGCCAAATTGAGTTTGCTACTGGTGTTAAAGGAGAGACCATTCCCACTCCTGAGTCATAACCTAGTGGGCATGGGATGAAACATTGGTTCCAGTTGTGTCCTCCCTGGTCCCTCTCATGGTGCTAAGATGGTGGTGTCAGTGGTGGGCAGCAGTAGTTGCCCCAGGCCTGCTTCTGTGGGGGGCCACTTTCTGGCCCAGCTGCAGGGCTCCAGCAAGGGTGGGGGCTGCAGTGGGTGGGGCAGCAGGACCCCAGCAGCATGAGCTTGAGTGCAGTTGAACCAGCTCCCCACCTGCTGATTATTGTTGTTTTAAGACACGAAGTTTTGGGATGATTTGTTATGCACAGTGTTGGTGACTAGAATAGGGCTTTATCAGGAGGACAGCAAGCAGGAATTGAGAAGCAGCCTCTAGTCTGTCCCTCCATTATGGAGGTATTTATTTTCTTTATTTAAAAAGGCCTAATAAATGGCTTCAGATAAGTTCTTTATGCACTCTATTTGTTGGTCCATTTGATGGATAGAATCCAAGGATCTGGACCTTAGTTAAGAGAACCTCTGGACCAGCAACCTTTCCAGGTGCCTTAAAAATCTCCCTTCACCTCTGCTGACTTCACTTCCTTCCCCCCAACCCATATCCCAACCTCAGTCCCAGCCCTGGACCATCATGTGACTCCAGTATCCTCCATCTATCATTCACATAATTCAGTGGTTTGCTGGAGCCAGCTATTCACATCTCTTCTCAACTGTGTTCAGTAACATCCCATTGCTAATTTGAAATCAGCCATGGTAATTACACCATGGACATTGATAAATGCTACAAATGGAGCTTCTCGTCCCACTCCAGAAAGTCAGTTTACCAAGATATCTAATACCTTAAGTCTTACTCCCCCTAGCCCCTGGGTTGGTGTCTGCAGAAACAGACATGAAAACATATAAATTCTGGTTTCTGTCCTCAAAGGACTGGCAGACATATAAATAAATTGCTGCATGCTGTGACAGTGCAGTACAAAGCTCTGATGTGTAAAGAAGGGAGTGATTGACTGCTGGGGTGCAGAGCGTCAGCTACAGTCTTAGAGGAGGGTGATGCCTGCTTGGGATGGCGAAGGATGAAGAAGAGTTTGTCAAAATGCATTTCAGTAAAAGGACCCAGTGTCAATGTCCAAAGGTGGGGGTTGCTTACTGGAAGAAGAAGGAGCAGACTGTAGAGGAAAAAAAAAATACACTGGGAATCTAAAAATAGTTGCAAATGACTTGGGCCTTCTTTAAGTCCTGAAAAACCCTGAGGACTTTGTATGTAAGGACATGAAAGCGTGAAAAAGCTTGCTATCTTCTGATTAGCTGGAAGACAAAGTGTGTATGTATCAAGAAGGGGAGTGGTGATAAATTTGACTAAAAAAGTAGACCGGGTCAGATGGTGAGTAACCCATGTAAACCACTAAGGAGCTTGAACTCTGTCTTCTGGTGGAAGAGAAACTGCTGAAGGCTGTTAAGTAAGGGGATGGTATATTAGTCAGCTTTGCTGCAATAACAAAGAACTCCAAAAAACTCTCATTTCTTAATTTCTTATTTCTTCTTCACATTACATTAGGACCATCAGTTAACTGAGTCTCTACTCCAGGTTGCAGTCCTGCTCTACTCCAAGGTTTTCCCAGTTCTTATATTTAAGATTTGTTTTATGAGCAAAATGTACCTTTTTATCTAGTCTGATAATTTAGTATTTTTAATTGGAGTATTGTCCATTTACATTTAATATAATTATATTTGTATTTTTATTTACCATCTTATTTTTTGCTTTCTATATATTCCACTTGTCTTATGTTCCTTTTATTCTTATTTCTTGCTTTCTTTTGGCTTAAATTTTTGTAATTTGATTTTTTTGCCTCTAGTAACTTGTTGTACAGTTGTCAGTTATATATTATTTTACTATTCTTGTGATAATCCTAGCAATTATAATATCCATCCTTGACTATATTACAGACTAGTAAAAATTAATTACATTTACCACTTTGCTGGTAAACCTTGAAATATTTTCCCTCTATTTCCTCCTTATGTCTTTTGCATGTTTTGTCATGAATTTTTATTCTATATAATTTTTAAGCTGCACAAGATATTATTAATATTATTTTGTAGAGTTAATATTCATTTATACATATTCACAAAATTACTGTTTTTGGTGTTCTTTATTTCTTCTTGTACTTGTTTCTGCCTGAGGTCATTTTTTTTTCTGTTGTAAAAATTCCTTTTTAGGATTTTTTAAATGCTTTCCTACTGATAATACATTCTCTGTTTTCATGTGGCTAAAAACATCTTATTTTATCTTTATTTGAAGGAAATTTTTATCTAGGCATAGAAATCTAAGTAAATGCTACTATACCAGATACCATTTAATAGTCCTACTATTATTGGTATTAATGGTATTAAATACTATTTAATAGTCTGTATACACCCAATAACATTGTGTGTGTATATGTATATAAATTTATTGAGCTTCAGATAATTTTTTCATTTGTAATGTTTATATTGATTTAGTGTTCTAGTTGATATCATGCAATTTTTCCTAACATCTCTCTTCTTCCTAGCATTCTTTAATGTAAATAGTTTAGGATTTGGAAAGATAAATGATTTAATTCGAGAGTCAGTTCTGCCATTTACCACCTATGTGATCTTGGCCAAGTCATTTAAATTCTCTGAACCAATTTTCTTATCTATAAAATGGGAAAAATGTGATATGGGTTCTATTTCACTAAGAAGTTATGAGGTTCTATTGAGATATACATGTAAGTGCTTTATAAAATGTGAAGTACTGATCAATTAGAATGTTCAGTGTTGTTATTATTTACTAGAACAGAAACATTCTTAGTCTGTACATTCAAAATTCTCTTACAAATGCACATTTTAATGAACACACTATAGTTAAATGATATTATTCATATGTATTTATTTATATATTCCCTTCTTGTATTTAGGACAGTGTTAAAAATTACATAAAATATAACTTACACAAGGTCAATTACAAATTTATTTCTAATCTTTGAAGAGACTCACATGAAAGAGAAAACCTGGGCCAGGTGCAGTGGCTCACACCTATAATCCTAGCACTCTGGGAGCTGAGGCGGGAGCATAGTTTGAGCTTGGGAGTTTGAGACCAGTCTGAGCAAGAGTGAGACCCCATCTCTACTAAAAAAAATAGGAATTAGCTGGACAACTAAAAAATATGTAGAAAAAAATTAGCCGGGTATGGTGGTACATGCCTGTAGTACCAGCTACTTGGGAGGCTGAGGCAGTAGGATTGCTTGAGCCCAGGAGTTTGAGGTTGCTGTAAGCTAGGCTGATGCCGCAGCACTCTAGCCCGGGCAACAGAGTGAGACTCTGTCTAAAAAAATAAAAAAGAAAGAAAGAAATGGAAAATCTGGCCAGTGACATAATTTATAATGCCCGTAAGATAAAAATAACCCATTATTCAAGAAAAGTACAGTTATTTCTTAATACTAAATTCAGGCAGGAGTTTCCCCTTAGTTTTCTTTATGATATAGAGTTATTTAAAAGGTTTTTCTGCTAGTTTAGAAGTTACTGATTTACATGGTTAATCCAATTCAGTGTTGGACTTATCTAGAATTTTAATATTCTGTTTCATATTCACCATGAGAGAATTATACATTTTAATGTGAGCTGCAAGCTCTTCCACCCTACTTGCAAATAGACTATATTCAGAAAACAATAAATAATGCCAGCTTCCTTTTCAAAATGCTTGGATACACATTAGAGGGAAGGTTAGACTGATATAATTAAAATTTTATTTTGCATATATAACATTAACAAACTATCTCACAAAGACAGTATTTAGCTTTATTTTTCCTTCATAGATACTAATTCAAAGATTCTTTACATCTTTTATTTTATTTATTTTTTTCCTTCTTTTTTTTTGTTTCAGCATATTATGGGGGTACAATACATCTTTTAAATATTTAGAATCTTTACTACATGCCAGGATATTGCTAACTGTTCTTTTTAAACAAAAAGCAATCATGAAGACTTACCATTGTGCTTTATTCTTTTACCTTTTTTTGTAAACTTGTATTTAAATGGAAAATAACAGTGTGGAACTGCAGTTTTTAAACCAACAATTGAAGTTTACGGTAGTGCCTCAAAGCCAATACCCCAACACACCTGAGGTTTCATATGATGAATAAATTTAAAATAGGACATTTGTTCCTTATTTAAATTCTTTGACTTTGTCTTCAGGTCACTGGCATGCATTTTATACGAGATGTGCTGCATGAATCATGCTTTCACTGGCTCCAGTTTCTTGTCCATTGTTTTAAAAATTGTAGAAGGCGACACACCTTCTCTCCCAGAGAGATATCCAAGAGAACTAAATGCCATTATGGAAAGGTATGGAAATAAATAAGTTTTCACAGAAATAATTTTAAATTGTACTTATATTTTAGTTAACTTGAAAAATAATTTTCTTTTAAACATTGCAGCATGTTGAACAAGAGTCCTTCATTGAGACCATCTGCTCTTGAAATTTTAAAAATTCCTTACATTGATGAACAGCTACAGGTACTTAAAATGAAAGGGATGATGGGAGACAGGCATTAGCATTTATATACATTCTATGACTTGAAGGTATACTGTGCAAATAAAGATGCATTAAGAATCAGCCAGAGAGGAGAAACAAGATTAAAAAGAACTGAGAAAATGTTAGTCAAGATAATCTCTTTGCAGAAGAAGGTACATGAACTCCAGTTCCCTGGTAACAATGGAAATGGAAAGTTAGGATTCTGATTTTCTGCCTAAATCCAATATCCACACTTACAATTCTTGTTGACAGATCTTAACACTTTGTTAAATATATCAGAACTAGGATAAGAATATACTAATATCATAGTAATACTAAAATCTAGGATTTTCATTGAGCTTTTATTATTTCAATCTCTTTTTATATATCTTAATAATAGTTTTTCATTGATTAGGTAAGTTCATTTTGTTTTCCTACAAATTAGAAAATTTAATATAGATGATCTGCCTTAGGTGGTAAGAAAAAAGCAAATGATCTCTTTTCTGGATGATTTGTTTTGTTTTTAACTTTTCAGGCTTTTACAATACAAATCCCTCAGGCAAGTTTCTTCTACTTTTATGCATAGCTTTAAGAGGAACCACAAAGCCATCAATCATGCACTTTCAAAAATGTTCATGCCTTTTCATCAGCCAGCCAAGTTCTAAATCCAAAGGAAACAAAGATGATGATGATGTGTACTCATTTGTTAAGTGCCAGGCACTGTGCTGATATGGGTGCCACCAAAATGAAAGGGACAGATGTGTTTCCTGTTATTCTGAGAGTTGGCTGTTAGTGAAAGAACCCAATAACCAAGAAAAAATAAGCAAATAAAGTAGGCCAAGTGCAGTGGCTTATGCCTGTAATCCCAGCACTTTGGGTGGCAAAGGCAGGAAGATAGTTTGAGGCCAGGAATTTGAGACCAGACTAGCAACCTAGCCAGACCCCATCTCTACAAAATAATAATAAAAAATAACTATATCACAAGCACTAGGAAAGAAATGAACAGGACACTGTGAAATAAGGGAGGCAGAGGGGCTTTAGTAGTCAAAGGAGTAGGTGACATTTCAACACCAGCATGTCTATGGAAAGCAGCCAACCAGTTAAGAGCCTAAAAATGATGTTTGAATCACCAGGAATAGCTGGTACAAAGGGTCCCTGAGTAGATCGTGTTCTCTGGTTACAAACCTAGAGAGGAGAGTTCTTATGCAAACATATGCATAAGGGGCTGTAAGTGTACTAAGGGAAAAAAAGTCCAAAGGGATCCAAGAAGATCTGCTGGGACCAGGGTGAGGCAAGTGAGGCACTTGCCCTAGGGTGAAATTTAAGGGGACACCAAAGACTCATAATCAAGATAAATCTTATTTTAATGGAATATTTTAAAAATCCAAATTAATACTAACAGTTCCTGGTAACAAAGTATCAAAAGTTTAAAGACAGGATCCAGCAGGGCCAGGATTAGGGTGAGACACATGAGGTGGAATTGTGCAAGTTCAGGGTTGGATCCCATCTTTATTTAAACTTTTGACATTGTATTTGTAGCTTTCTGGCATTACTTTTGACAAAAACAATATCGTATAAAAATAGTATTTACCTTAGTTACTGAGTTTTTTGGTGCCCCTTAGATTTTGCACCTTAGGTGAATGCCTCACTTGCCTAACCCTAGTCCTGGCCTTGCAAGTGTAGACATTGTGCATTATAGGCTGGGAGATGGTGTAACCACCCAACCAGGTTGTATTGCCCATTACACAGAGAAGAGGAGCCAATACACGGAGACAGCAGGGGTTGGAGTGGAGAAAGAGTTTAATATCACAGGGCACCAAGCCAGGAGATGGGAGAAATTTCCCAAGTCTGTCTACCTGAGAATTTGGACACTTGGGTTTTTAAGGATGGTTTAGTGGGCAGGGAGCTAGGGGATCAGTATTGTTGATTGGTTTGGTTCAGCTTGAAATCATAGGGATGTAGAAATTGTCTTCTTCTGCTGAGTCAGTTTCTGGATAGGGGTCGCAAGACCAGTTAAGTAAGTTCCTTGGTATGGGCCACTGGTCTGATTGGGTCAGTCAGTCCACTGGAATGCGGGGCCTGGAAGATATCTCAAAGACTAGCCTTAGGTTTCACAAGGGTGATGTTATCTTTGGGAAAAATTAAGAAAGCTAAGAATCTTTATGACCATCAGCTATGTGACTCCTGAGTAGTAAGCAATTATAGGAAAGCAAGCTAGTGAACAATGGCTGGTTATTTTTTAAACTATGTGTATACCTTTGCAGAGTTCAGGCTCCTACCACAGTTCCCACCTTGCAACCCTTTATTAATTTTATAAAGGATTGTTTCAGTGGGAAAAAGCTTGTGCATTCTTGTTGCTTAGAGAAGACTTGCCCATGACTGGTAATAGGGAGTGAGAAAGCAAACAGTACAAGATGAAGGTGGGAAGGTAGGCAGTAGCTTGACCCTGCAGGATCTTCTTGCATAAGCTATCATGTAATTTTATGTAATCCTTTATAAAGGGAAAAATTGTTACTATGTGCTTTGTTTTCAAGCCCCCCACCATGGCCAATAATACCCCAAATCAGAAAGACACCTGGTAATTTTGTTCCCTTTCATGCCTGAAGAGGAGTCTTTAAGGTTTTTCAGGGTTGATCTTTTTTTTAGCACCTGATGTGTAGATATTCAGAAATGACTCTGGAAGATAAGAATTTGAATTGTCAGAAGGAGTCTGCTCATATAATTAATGCCATGTAAGTAATTGCTTTGTTTTTAAAAAGTCTATCAAGCGTAAATGTTAAATGCATTTGTCTTTAAAAATCTATTAGTGCTCATCTGACTGCATGGAGTAGCCTAGAATTCACTTAAGTCTTGCCAAGAAATTAAGGAGCTGCAGTAATGGGGTGTTGCGAAGCCTTTTGCCCCAGGTGGTAGCAAATTGAAATCATAAAAGTTTAAACCACTGCACAGCTTACAGATCTGCAGGGTAGCTCTGCAGTTGCTTTGCAAATATATAGAGAAATTAATATCTCAGGCATTTAGTAATATTTATGCTAATGAGCCTTCCATAATAAGCATAAATGGCTTTCACATGTTGTTTGTTTAACGTGAACTGACAGAGTATCTACTGAAAAGAGAACATTGTGGAGTCCTGGAACAATTGAGAATAAGACAAAATGCACTTTCTTGAAATATACACCCTCTATATAAGAACTAAAGAGTGCTTTTCAAAGAACCATAATTATTTTCTGTCCTAACTTCCCTCTCCTGCCTAATTCAAAATTTTTGTGCTAGAGCTTGCAAAAGCCCAGAATATTAGGTTACTTCAGAACATTCATGTACAACTGTGCAGACTGTGTACCGCACAACTGCAGGTACACTACTTATAAAGACTAAATCTATAATTTTGCTAAAGGAACTGTCTATTTAATCTTATAAGGAGCCAAAGAAAATGGCAGTTCCTTTCTAGAGTTATAGGGTGAGAACAGGAGACTTCAAGAGGCTGATCTAACATGAATATCTCCTCCAACACCGAGTCCAATAGTTTCTCAGCTCTACCATGTTTGCTTTCTATCTTCACATACAAACTGGGGAAACTGGCCCATTAAAGATATTCAGTCTTGTCTAATGCATGATCTCCAGTACAAATATACTGCACCTCAGGGGGTAAATTTTTACACATGCTCCTAATAACCTAGTTTTCTTAGGTTACTATCTATGCTTTCAAGAAAGGTTGAAATTTCTAATTTTATTTTATTTTATTAAAAAGATGTTGAGAGTAGTAGATATCTTATTTTAAAAATATTGGACTAACTGTAGCTATCATTTTGCACTACAATTGTGAAACAGTTTGCCTGACACTGTTTACAATTAACAGTATACTAGAATACAATTGTTTGGAGGATATTTCACATTATGAAATATTGATTTCAAATAATCACTGTTATTTTTGAGATCTATGACTATGTTTTAAGGAGATCTATTTGGTCTGTCAAAATAAAGAATATATATTCCTTAAAATTGCATGTTCTAGAGACTCTGGTCTGGACAGTATTCCAGAGGGATGAGAACTACCTACAGTGGTTTTTACAATTTTCTCATAGTGTTTCTTGAGGATGGAGTTAAGTGCAAAGGGTGTTCTGCAGTATTGGGCCCCATCTCAGCCAGGAACAGAAGCAAATGCCATTGAGAATATGGTTGCAGTCTTTTCAATGCATGGTTAATGTAAGCTTATTTCTTTAACTGAAAAGAGGTTCTGAAATAATAATATTGGTGAACATTTTGGTGGGTAATGACCATGGGCTTTGCTCTGTTATAAGCTCTTTACACAAATTAACTTATTTAAATGTAGAACAACTCTATGAAGTATTGACTATTTTTTTTAATAGTTATACAGCAGTTAACTAACTTGGCCCAAGGTCATACAGAGTGAAACCTGGGAGTTAGGGTTTGAACCTAGAGAGTGTTGTTAACTGGTTTGATTAACCACTATACCATGCTGCCATAAAAATATTCACTGTATTAAGCCTGGAATATAGATTTACTTATTATTATTATTATTTACTTATTATTAATTTACTTAATATTACTTATTATTATTATCAACAAGGTTTACTTATTACAATATTATCATTTGAAATGCTTTTTATGTGCCAATCAGTGTATATATGTTATCTCATATAACATTCACTATAGTTCATTCTTTATAGATGAAAAAACTGAAGTTCAGAGAGGTTCAGCTACTTGCCAAAGGCTACAGAGCTAATGAGTGGTGGAGGTAGGATTCAAACCCTGCCTAACTCCAAAGAGTGTGTGCCTTTATCCACATGGTGAAATTACTCTGTCAGTCTATTTACTCTCTAATGGCCAAGATCCTAATTTGTCTTACATTATGAAAACCAGTTATAGGCAATGAAATGAGCAGAAATTTGGAGAGTACATGATTTGCTTTTAAACAAAAATCTAATTTGAAAAATACTGCTGATTAACTACAGTCCTGGTTGGCTCATTACCTACCCAGAGCTTATTAGTTTTTGCTTGGCTTGTCTTGAGATGATTTTGCTCTCAGTAGTATAATGATAGTTTTATAAAATATTTGTTTAATTTTTCTGAGCATGTTTGGGATGGGTTGCATGTGGGAAATCTTTATTATTTATAGGCAAAAAAAGATCCACCTACACACTCTCAGGGTGCTGTCTGAAGTGCAGAAAATGACGCCAAGAGAAAGGATGCGGCTGAGGAAGCTCCAGGCAGCTGATGAGAAAGCAAGGAAGCTGAAGTAAGCTGCCTTTTCTTTGGGCACCCCACGCCGTGGGCTACTTTCCAGGGCTGGCCTCTAAAGGAATTTACTGAAGAAATGCAAAAAAGAAACCACAATGCATATGATTATATATTTATTTGTATATTCATTCACTCAAAAGAGGATTACTGAGCCATAGATTGAATGCCAGGTATTACTAATATCAGGCTTTCAGTCTTATATAAAGGGAAAGATTGAATATTAGGGAGGTTATGAGTGACTAAGATAGAGTCACTTTCCAAATGAAACCTCATTGTCACTAACACCTTCTATACATGCCTCAGCACGAGGGTGAAAAAGAGGCTTCGCTATTTCACTCTCATTCCCTAGGTGCTTGCTGCATCCTTTCTACCAGAGTTAGGTGATTTATAGGGAGGAGAGTTTATTAGAAGGAAATTGTTGACTTTTGGAAGGAAGTACATAGGAAACAGATCTCTGCTTTGTCAAGTGAAGCATTGGGAAAAGTCTATGCTCAGGGAAATGCTGCTGGTGGGAGATGTCACTAGTAATTAGAGTATTTACATGAAAAAGTGAAATTTCAAGTGCTGGCCATGATGTGAAAAAAGGGAATCCTTGTACACTGTTGGTGGGAATATAAATTAGTATAATCATTATGGAAAACAGTATGGAGTTTACTCAAAGGATGAAAAAGAGAACACCATATGATCTGACAATCTTACTTCTGGGTTTATGTCCAAAGCAAATGAAATCAGTATGTCCAAGAGATATTTGCACTTCTATGTTCATTGTAGCATTATTCACAGTAGCCAAGATATGAAATCCACCTAAGTGGACATCAACGGATGAATGGATAGAGAAAATGTGGTGTAATATACACAATGGGATACTATTTAACCTTTAAAAAAGAAGGAAATCTCATAATTTGCAACAATATGGTTGAACCTGAAGGACATTATGCTAAGTGATACAAGCCAGGCATAGAAAGACAAATACTGCATGATTCCACTGATATGTGGAACCTAAAAAGTCAAACTCATAAAAGTGGAGAGGAGAATGGTGGTTACCAGAGGTAGGGGGGCCTGGAGTGCAAAATGTTGGTCAAAGGATACAAAGCTTCAGTCAGACAAGAGATATAAGTTCTGGAGATCTATTGTACAGCATGGTGACTGTAGTTAATAGTAATGTATTATATATTTGAAAGTTGCTAAGAGACTGGATCTTAAATATTCTCACCACATCCAAAAAAAAATACTTGAAGTGATAGATGTTTATTAGCTTGATTTAATCACTTCACAGTACATCCTATGTCAAAATATCACATTGTACACCAATGTGTACAAAAATTATAAATAATTTATGTCAATTAACCTTTAATGAAGCCAAAGAAAAAGACACATGTATAAAAACGGAATTTTAAAGAGCCCTGGATTCTCAGTTTCTCAAAGACTGATTTATCAGGTGGCAGATTATCCAATTTCCTAATTTTTCTTCTTCTTTTTTTTCTCTACCAATTTTGTGTTAGTTTAGAAACCCCAACCAAGATAGAGAGGCAGAAAAGATCTGAAATGCAAGTCTGTTCACTTTGTAACCTTGTTAACATATTTGAAAAATGATTTAGTGGTTCTCTTGTACTTAGAATGAATATCATGATGAACCAAGTAAGAACCTGTGAGAGTATATTCCCTTAACATAATTTCTTTAATAAATTTAGAAAAACATTTCCATCAAAGTACTTCATGGGCAGTGTTTTGCTGGTATATGTTCAATAACAAGCTCTGGATTTGAAGGAGACTGCTGACTTGTTTACTGATTTCTGTAATATAAATACTCCCACCATAGCCAATTTCAAGCTACTAATGTTGTTATTGGCCTCCAAGTGGAGATTTTTCCAAGTTCTTGGTGTTCATTACAGGGAAGAATTTCAGGACACCCCATGTAAGCCAAGCAAGTGAAAGCTTTATTGAAAGCAAAAGTATACTCATGAAAGAATGCAGACAGGCTCAAAAAGAGCAGCTGCACTGAGAGGAAGTGGTCTTAGATCTTTCCTAGTTTTACTAATTGAGGGGAAAACTATTCACGGCCAAGGGATTGGCTTTTACTAAGATTTTGGGTAGTAATTCCTAGAATTGGGTTCCCTCCCATTTTCATAGTTGATATGGTTATCTCAGAACTGTCCTGGCAATTTTAAGAGCAGGCAAACTTTAAAACCACAATATAAATGATATTGTAATTAGCCAAAGTTCACGTAAGGTGGCAGAGATAACTGACAAGCCAGTTGAAGCCAGTTATTGCCTGAGGTTATCAGCCCCTCTAGTTAGCTTTTGCTTGAGAGTTGTTTACTTTGACGCCTGCACCTGATCTTCAAGCCCCTGTATCCAGTCTTAGCCCTGTCTCCTAGTTTCCTGCTCTATCAGGATATCATTTAATGCTCATTTGGGAAGATATGTACACAGTCTGCTCTTGGGAGCCAATACAAGTGGGTTTCTGCAAACCACTGTAACCTTTAGTATGGGATTTATTGGGAAATATTAATATTTTCATGTAAAGTGTTGGAGCCATTGCATCAATTCACAGCCCCAAATCTGTTTCTAAAACCTCAGAAATGGCAATATTTCTGAAGTCCCATGATTCATGTCATTGGTTGAGGCTAAAAGGAAAATTAAATCTCTAATAGTAACAAATTTAAAAGGGAAATTTAATGATTTACAGGTAATTACAAATTGTTCATATTGAAACTGTATTTTATATACAAAACAGTCATAAATCTTCAACATTATGCACTGATATTTTTCTTATTTAAAGTCAGTGGTTTTAAATAAAGTTCAGTCTTGATTTTATGAATGAATTGGAACTGTTTCTGATAGTCCTGTATAGAATTCAAGGGAGATCATGTGTTTTAACTAGAAAATAATGCTGTTGTCAGAAGAGTTATAATGTACCCATTTTATAGACAAGAGAATTTGACTAGAAGGATGTTCAGTGACTTTTAAAAAAATCTAAATATAAATTGGCACACAATTTAAGTTCATAAGAACTCAAATCATTCTTTCTAGTAGCAGGTCTATTAAACTCAATTTTCCTGTAGCAGAGAAAACAAAGAAAATGTGTCTGTAGAAAAATTCCCCTGCATAATGACTCCCAAATATATTCCCACAAATTATTTGATATGTAATTCTGTTTTTCCTTGTGTATGTGTTTGTTCATCCTGAGAGTGGGTTTCAAGTTATAAGCATGTGTTAGGCACCATGCTGGCATTGGGGACACACACCCTTATCATCACACTCAGAGAACACACAAAAGGATAAGTACTATCTTCTCTTTCTGCTGCATGTTAGGATTTATAAAGATGAATGAGGAACCAGAGCATCCTTGTGTGTGCTTTAAAAGGAAATGAACTCGGTGCTGCACTGCATACACCTTGATGAGGGAGAGACCTGATGGCCTGGCTTCCCAACACCCCAGTCTGCCTGATGACACAGGGACCACACTTATCTGTATAATATAGATATAGTTTTAGCAATTCACAGTTATTTTTCTGTATTCACTTTATGTTTGCAGAAAGATTGTGGAAGAAAAATATGAAGAGAATAACAAGCGAATGCAAGAATTGAGATCTCGGAACTTTCAGCAGCTGAGTGTTGATGTACTCCATGTAAGTACCCTCTGATTTTAAACTTTACATTAAACCTTTTCTTGCTTCAGATTCTTCAGGTTCATGGGGCCAGTTGGGTAGGAAAAGGGACAGGCTGGAAAACAAAAGCAAAGAGGTTATGGCTAGAGATGGATCAATTAATTCATCTGATGAAAAAGTATCTACTGTGCATAGGATAATTGAATGGGCACTGAATACACATGGTTGATGAGTCAAAATGATTAATTCCAGAACAAATGTTTTTATATGTAATTTCTAATTCCACTCATTCTATTGTTTACATTGTCCATTGTTCTCTTTATCTTTTTTTTTTTGGATTTACATAGGTTAAACATTTATTCAAAGATAGAATTTCATAATGACTTTTCCCCCCCCTCTCAGCTATATGCTGTTTATGAAAGAAACATCTAAATTTGAAACAGAAAATTTGGAAATAAACTTATGCAAAACACACACATGTAAAATTCTATCTAAATAGGGACTGGTGAAATAATAATGAATATAAAAAACATTAATTTTATAGAAACGCAGAAGAACACTTTCTAGTCTTAAAAAGAATCATCTATTAAAATGGTATAACAATAATGCCCTGTATACACTCAAACTATGCAATTGGCAGCATCAAAGAAGAAATTGACATATCCATAATCAAAGTAGGCCACTATCTCAGAAATGAACAGATCATGCAGTCAAACTACATTGCTAACATTATCAAATATTTAAATAATAAAATTATAGATTTGCTATAATAGAGCCATATGGTACTTTGTACTCTATAAATAGAAAGCACTTATTCCTTTCAAGTATACATGATCATTTATGATATTTAACTTGAACTTCATGTCAAAAGAAGTCTTCCCAATATGATATAGACCACATGTTCTGACTGCCACACAAGACAACGCAAATTAAACCATTAACAGACCCCCCCCCC